CCTTGATGGTCCCAGGGACCTCCGCTCCTAGACTACAAAATCAACCACTCCCGTCCTTCTGTTACTTAAATATAATTTTTTGACTTGTGGAGTGTCTTACACTGTAATAATACTAGCATTCCATTTCACATAAATTCCAGAAACCATTCAGGTCAGTAGTTGCTACAGTTCTCTTGCTTAGGATGAATTTAACTCATGTGAGGGTTGGCTTTCTTGCCTTTTCACACACACACACACACACACACACACACACACACACACACAAAATTAGTAAAAAACAAAAATTAAACCATTTGTTCCTGACATTTTTTCCCTCTTTCTTGAATTAGACCTATGGGTTCCTTCACTTAACAGTAGTATTTTATGGTTCAATTCTACTCTGAAGAATAGTGAGCTAAAGATAAACATGGCTTTCAACTGTATTAGAGTCCCTATGTATATTAGTATTAATTCTGATTTAACGTTTCAAATAATAAGGATCAGTTAACAGGGGCCAAAAGTACTAATAAAGGAATCTAAGTTTTGAAAAAAATAAAGGTTGGGAAAAGGACAAAATATTGAGATGAAATAATGTCCAGGCCTTAACTAAGAAACACTCTCTGAAATTGATCCTTTAAAGAAGATGTAACAAAATGGAATCACAGTTTTCTAATTACTGATTTTGTTTGTTATATCTTGACAAAAGGGAAAGGACACTGCAGTTCACCACAAGAAGAACCTATTTCCCATTTTAAATGACAACAAATTGCTGCCACACACTGAAGTTAAATGAATTTTCATAGTTGTTTTCAAAGTCTGATATCTAGATGATTATAAATGTTGTCAATTTTCAGGACAAAGACATGCAATATAAAAAGCAAACTGCAATTCCAAGTTAACATTTACTATCTAGAACATTTCTAGAACATTTGCTCCATCTTGTGGAGGTAAAGAGTATAATTATTAAGAATTTTTAAACCTGTAAAAAGAAAACAGCCAAAGCAACAGTTTTAATAACAAAATGTGGCCTAAAATGTATGATATCTTGGTTATAGTTTGTTCACATCTAGAAATGGCAATATAACTAATGAACAGGATTATGCCAATGTAAGTTGTATAATTTATAACAAGCAGTCCCTTACTAATGACTAATTTTGTAAGAACTACTACTTACACAATGCTTCTGAGAAAAGATTGCATAGAGAATCACAAGGAATCTGAGAGCCTAGCCTAAGAAAAGAACTAGAGATATGTATTACTCTAACTTTTAACAGCAAATAACAAACACAACATAAATAATAACCCAACTGTCCAGCAGGATACCTACTACTACGAGCTCCATGAAAGCAAGGCCATGTCTGCTTTGTTTACTTTGCATGTTCGATGACTAGCACACAGCCAGGTACATAGTGGTGGTGGTGGTGGTTATGTGCCGTGGAGTCGGAGCCGACTCATAGCAACCCTGTACAGGGTTTTCGAGGCTGAAAATCTTTACGGGAGCAGAAAGCCTCATCTTTCTTCCATGGAACAGCTGGTAGTTTGGAAGTGCTGACCTTAAGGTTCGCAGCCCGATTCGTAACCCCTAGGACATAGTAGGCACTTAATACATATTTGTTTACTTGAATTTTTGGGAGACACAGGTTGCCGACTTTTCATTTTGTGAAATGAAGATCAAACAAAAACAAAACAAAAAATCTCCTATCTACTTTCATCACTTTTTTTTTT